ATGAAAAACTAATCAAGTTGGACTCAAGAATCGCATGATTCGGAGTCCGAACGAAGGAGAAACGGCATGACGAAAAAAAGAGAGCACTTAAGGCAAAAAGGATAAATTGGTAATTATCCAGGAAGAACCGGGTACAACCGAGCACACCGTTGGAAAGACAGCGAAAAATTAGTCAAGTTCAAAAAAAAATTCACTTAAATCAGAGTCCGGATGAAAGGAGAAAAGCCCAAAAGAAGAATTGACGTCGCGGCGGCCCGACGAGGGCCATGGTGCACATGGCGCCCATGCGTGAGCCCACCGGCGCGCATGCCGGCGCCCAAAGACGTGGCTGGTGGCAGCCTTTCGCTACTGCTACATTTTTTTTTATCTGCCCAGAATTGAGGCTTGAAACGGAGGTCAAGACGAGTTTTTTTGAAGAAACACGAAAAAGAAACCCCCCCTAGAATCGAGTTTTCTACCCGACAGCGCAGACGAAATCGAAAAAAAATCACTGTGAAATCCCCAAAATTCCCCTAGATCAGAACTGAACAAGAGGGTCATAAAGCTGCTAAATGAAAACTGGAAGCTGAAACTTCACGAGGGATTTTCGGTACCAATACAACAATTTCTGGAAAAACACGAAGAAACCCCCCCCCTAAAATCATGTTTTCTATTCAACCATGTCAAAAAAAGAAAATAAAACAGATATGAAAGGTCCATAATGACCCTAGATCAGAATATGCAAAAAAAATGCGAAATGAATTAACAAGAGGCTCAAAACACAAACGATAAGGTTTTTCCCAAAAAAGACCATGCACACAAACGTAACCTACCTATTTGGACGTGCTATAATGGTCCACGACTTAAAATACCACCGATACAAAATCCGACCCCCTTAACGGGCAAAAAGTTAAAAATGGAACTTCGAATGAAAACTCATAATCCAAAAATACAAAATGGGATCAAATGACCGTTTGGCCCTTGGCCACACTTCAAACATGATTTATGAGACTCTATGAAAGAATGAGAATGGAATTCCCACACCCGATGCAACCATGGTGAAGCAATGACTTGCGATTTTTCAAGATTTTCACAATATTTCATGAAGTTAAAAAGTACATAGAATACAATATAATGTTCATTGGCCTCCGGCCTCATCTCATACATATCAAATACATTGAAAGAAGTGTACTTAAGTACACATTACATACATGGAATCAAATATACATATTTTGACATATAAGTCTACAAAACGACATTTCATGCTAACATTCGCATGAAATGGAAACTTGAAAGCTACACGACATCCAAGGAATGCTAGGCATCACGAACCAAGTCTTCGTACCTGAAATATGCCCCAGTATCGTAGGGGTGAGTAACATAAAGCTACTCGTAGGAGATGAGCATGCATCGACCTAACATTTTACAAATTTATCACCTTAAGGTGAAACATGTTAAAGGGGTTCATGCCACTCAACGTCTATATCGAAATGAGACTCAGGGAGCATCCTAAGCTACCTTAGAGTGTTTCTAGCATAAATCACATCATCTATGCCATTTAAACAATATGGAAGCACGTTATACAAAGCAACAAGATATAGGTTCTTAAAGGTATTAACTTGCAATCTCGAATACAGAAACAACTAAAGTGATTATGTCACCTAACGTCTATGTTCTAAATAAGTCTAAGGAATCATCCTAGGCCATGCTGAACAATCAAACCGTAATTTACAACTTCAATGCAATATAACCAGATAAAAGCATATTATACAAGGCAACAAAATACAATTTCTTAAAGCTATCAGCTTGAAATCTAAAGTACAAAAACAACAGAAGTGGGTCATGCCACCTAACGTCTAAATTATAAATGAATCAATAGGATCAATCCTAAGATTTGTTAGAACGTCAAAACACAATTTTCAATAACGATACAATTTAACCAACATTGGAACTTCCAATACAACGCATAAAGCATAATTTCGCAAAGTTAACATCATGTAACTTAAAATGGAACGACAAATAAGAAACAACAAGTTACAACATCGTCTAGTTATCAATTTGAAAATGAAATGCGAAATCAAACAAAGTAGATACTCGGACGTCACGCCGGATCAGATCGCAAACATAGTTACTTTAGGGTTACTAGCCCATGGGTAACCTCCCTATGTGCGCACTAGACCATATAGAGGGACTATCCCCCGTACTAGAATCACGTCCCAGCTATAGTCAAACAACAACATCCACAAGTTTCCAAAATCAACAAGTTGTGCAACAACGCATATATCAACAGGAATATGCAAGATAATCAACTATCTACTAAGCACAACCAAATTTGGAAACCTATACAATACATGCTCCAAATCCACAACTAATATAATATGATGAATGTCGAATCTTCAATGTGCGATTCGTTACACGCTATGCATGAAAGATGTTAAACACAAAGTGTGCAAATCATTACACAAGGCAACAATATATTCAATAAAGAAAACATATTATTACGAATACAAACATAGCAACTATATTATCCAATGTTCAAAACATAACCAAATGAATATAGAACAAGTCTAAGTCCATGATTTGAATATATAAACCACTTCTAAAACACAACTAGATCATGGAGCAAATTGATAGAATTTAAATAGATAAACACAATTAAATTCTCTAGATTCCGATTCAATTCCATATAACCTCAATTTAATACATGTTAAAGGACATGTCATGGTTATCACCTATATCCATTCTAAAACTCAATTAGGTTGTTGGAACAACAAAGTAGAACTTTAATTAAATCATGCAAATTAAATTACCAAGGTTCTAAAACAACTTCTAATAGTCCCAAATTAATATATACTAGTAAACAAGTCATGGCCAATACAAATATCAAGTCAAAACATTAATTAAGCTAATGGGACCACAAAATAGATTTTAATTAATTCTTTTAATTAAAATCTCTTGATTTTCAAACTTAACCAAATGCTCTCAAATTAACCTATGTTGGAAAACATGCCAAGGACTAATGTAATATCACATTACAAGTTTATTTAATTGAATTTACGACCATGCGAGTTAAACCTTCAATAAAGTTAAATATAAAACAAAAGTTGCAATTCTCATGCAATAAATCTCAATTTAATACATGTGAACAATTATACCAAAACTTAATTTTCTAGCATGCCACAATACAATTCCAAGTTGTATATCACCATGAGGATTAAATCTTAAGCATGGAATTTAATTAAATAAAATGTTTCAAAACCTAACCGAACATTCTAAATCAAATATATGTAAAACTATATGGCATGTAAATCTAGAATATCAAGTCGGAATTTAAATAGAGTGAAAAGTGCACTCTGGGCAAATTAATTAATCAAATTAATTAATAGTTACTAATTTTCAAAATACCTCCAATCACTTTCAAATTCAACTATGTTGGAGAGCATGCTAAGGCCTTATTTAATATGCTAACACATATTGATTTTAAGTTAGTTAAGGCCATGTGAATTAATCTTTTACCTAAGATAAATATTAAATAAAATCTTTAATACTTATTCAAATGTTCCAATTTTAATACACGACAATGAGCATATTAAGGGGTAATATAAAATCATGCTACATGTTTAAACTAAGTCATGAGCAACCGGGAAAATTAGATCCCGTACAAGAAAAATAAATAATAAAATTTCTAGATTTTATATTTAATCATGCAAACAAGTAGTATAAGTATCACAAACATGCTATATAATAAGAATTTAAATCTAGAACATCTCCTACCTCAATTTGAGATGAAAATCTCAAAAGCCATCAAAATGGAACGGCTTCGAATCCGACGAAACTACTAGGTTTTGTCAGGGACAACGCCATGAACATAACCACCATGAAAGCCCCATCAAAATTATAACTTGACCTTAAAACCAAACTCAAGAAATGGTCAAAACTGAATTCTAATAAGGGGGAAAGGTAGAGCACAGCGAGGGGAACAACAAATGTGAAGGCCGAAAACTTTCCATCAAGGAAAAGTAAACCAAAAGAGGAGAGAAAAGATGGTAGCACCCCTTGGGCTGCCATGGGAGCTCCAGGTCGTGCATTAAGAGTGGAGAAGATGAAACATGAAATATCTCACCCCCCCTTTTATAGAAATCTCAAAAAGTGCCCCGAACGGGCCCCGCTAGGTCCGAAAAAGTAAAATTTGAGCAGACGCGCTCAAATGGCAAAACTTTGTGAACAAAAAAGATTTAAAATGATAAAATATGAACAACGGAAGAGACGGCGTCGAAAACTGAGTCCTGAGCAGAATGTTATGCCCAAAACAAGTTTGGCGAAAACCGGGGCCATAAACCCTGAAACTGAAAAACATCGACCAGGAGGAAATTCCAAGAGTACACAACTCAACGAAATGTGAAAATAAATCCCGTATGAGGATCCAGGCTCAAAACAAGACATTTTGCAATAACTTTCATTAGTTGCACAATGGCCCCTACAAAAAGGGTTAACTGCGAAATTACCTCAGAATGAAAATATCTTCCAAAAGATTTTTTCTTAAAAACCTATGAAATAAAATATCTTCAAAATATATTTACGAAAAACACCCCAAGAAAAGAAAATAATTTCAAAAAACTTTGCATCTATGCCCCAATGGACACCGGGAGCAACCAGAGTACTTTCTTGCAAAAGTAAAAATACGTATTTCGTAAAAACCACTCAAGATGAAGGCACGTGAAGTCAAAAACTAACTCCGAGCATGAGAAGTGAGGTTGTGCCAAAAACTGACAAATGGAGATAAGACAGAATAGGGAAAAGGACGAAATAGCGCATAGTGTCGAAAAACGAAAAATGTGAAAATGACTCGGTCCTCAAAGGAAGTTGTCAATCCACGGAAAAGAGTCTCAGGAATCAATTCCAAGCACTCGAGATGACACTAAGTGACACGAAACAGAGCTCAGAAAAGAAAATTAAACGAAAAAAATTCAATCGTAAAATTTCTAGAAAAAGGAAAGGAAGGCAAATGACCGGGTCGTTACATGCTTCATCATATGCAAGTGCAGCAGCCTCAGCTATTTCGAAAGTACCTAGCCACACTCTTGCTGCTTTTTTAGGGCCTCGTATTTCGGCTGCCCACTTGCCCCATGGCCTTTGCCTCAGCCCTCTATAGTGTCTTCTCCCTTGGTTCCCTTCACAATGTACATATAGATTTGTTTATAATATATGTAGCTTTGACATATCACGCCATACGTGAAAATCACCATCACAAGAACAATAACAGGCATTTTCTCCAACTATCTGAGGTCGGCTACATGAATCTTATGTTTCCATTCCAGCTCTATCTAATGCCATGGATAGCCTCAATCAAAGACCATACATGAAAATAATTAGGTTAATTAGTTTTATTTATTATATTCTTCTAAGTTCTAACATCTGTAACTATATAAATATATATATTTATATATATATATGATGGTTGTAAACTGCAAAAACATGAATGTAGTAAATACCACAGACCATTTCCTAGATTGAATCAGAATGATAAATGAAGAGCGAAAATATAAAACATATAGTGTGAACTAGCTAGTTTTATTTTTTTCGGTTGAACTAGCTAGTTGATTTCATGTTATTATTAATTAGCTCTAGTTGTTTTCATGTTGTCTGGTTGTTTTCATGTCATTATTCCAGAATTTTTTATTATTTTTATTTATTTATTTATTTATTTATTTATTATTTTTTTTTTTTCAAATTATTCCAGATTTTGGGCATAGGAGAGAGAGAGTTCATATGCTTAAGCAGGCATGCAGCATCATACCAAAATCTAACCAGTCAGTTGACCAAATACAACATCCTAGTGAGCTTGAAGTAGAAGCGGTGGTCATCAACGTGTTCAAGTCTAACTTTTCCACATATGTATAATATATATATATATATATATATATATATATAAACTTAGGAAAAAATATATATGTATATATATATACATATATATTCTAAACAAGATTATCTAATACTACGTATATGATATGAATATATATGTATTTATGTTACCTTGATCTTGAATATTGGGTTGAGACTGATCAGGAGGCACCGTTGCACCCGGCCCGGCCATGAATATATATGTATTTATGCCTATGGCTACTGAGTTTCCTGCAGGCATATCATGAAGAAGGTTTTTATCAGTGTTTCCAATAACTAGAGTGAGTGCTGACACCATAGCGGACATGTCCTGTTGAGATCTAGCTGAGTAGACAGGAAATATGTTATAGTTTTCTTCTTCTTCTTCTTCTTCTTCTTTTTTCTCCGATGAATCAGAAAAAGGAAGGGGCCTCTTCCCATGCCTGTTTAGATCCACTTTAATTTCTTACAACTTATATATATATGTATTTGTAAAATACTATATATATATACTTGGTTGAATCTATATAAATGTTGGGTGTGAAATGATCATATATATGTAGAAGATGAGGGTTATATATGTGTGTGTGTGTGTGTGTGTGTGGATCAAGACTACCCAGAAGAGGATGAAGCTGATTTAAAATGAGATGCATGTGGGGAGGAGGTGAAAGAGAAAAAATAGGGTTTTGCTTGCTACAATATATATGGATTTTATATGTATTAGTCAAATGGAATGGAAAGACTATTCAAAAAAGTGGTCTATGACCGTAACTTCTTGATGAACCAATTAAATTTAAATTTTCATAATAATATATTAATATATTATAAAAAAATCTCAACAACGATTTAATTTGATCGTTGAGGATCTAATAATTAATTTCTGAAAGAGAAGAGATAAAGCTAATCTGAAAGGCCAGAAGTCAAAATAAGCCTGACAACAGGTAAAAAGATAAAGCAATAACACAAGTGAGGCATCCATGTTAATTTGATTATATTGATTGTGTAAATTAAAATAAATAAATATTGCTTTGGTCGGTTATTGCCATATTTTTAATTTTTTCATAATTAAAAACGTTTTTACTATCAAACAAAATTCATATTATTCATGTTATATACTAATTTTATTTTATTAAATACTAAAAATATATATTTATGACATCTAATATTACTCCATATAAATAATTTTTTGAGACAAAAATATTTAAGATTTATTATGTATTTTTATTTATTTTATATTATCATATACCATATTTATATTATATTATATGCAAATATTAAATTATAATTAATTTGTAATATTAAAATACATTATATATTTTTTTACATATAAGTTATATTAACTGGACATTAGGCCCATAACAAAAGATACAACAATAGCGTGGCCCAAAGCTAAGTTGCTTACAAAATAATCAGAAGCCCATTAGCAATTGAATAAGCCCAAAGGCAATTCAAAAGAGGTGGCTATGATTAATTTCTTCTCTAATTGTTTAAAATATCTAGATTTGGCGACTCCAATATGGAGGATTGGAATTCAACATTTGGAAATGATATTGTTGATATCTATAGAGTTGAGAAATCAAATGGTTGGACTTTGATGAATTCAAGTTTGAACAATGCAACAAGAGTTGAAGTCTTTAACAGAATAAATACATATATACATACGTGAAACTTCTTGTGGTGGGATCAGAGTCGTTTTATTTTTTCACTCATATAGAAGTGTGAAAATTAACATTTCATATAGTGTGTAAATTATTTAATAATGAGAATTTATTGTATTAGAATGGACCATATAATAACACTAAACTGAGTGTGATCGATTTGTCTTCATCTCTTGATTTGTTGTGATTATTTTATTGTGTTCTTCTCATAAATAGAAAAATGTAAAGGTTCTATGTTTTTAAAAGGAGCATACTAAAATTAGAACTCTAGGCTATTGGCGGTACATGACAAAATTTAGTGGGTATTTAATTAATTAACAAGTTGGCGATGAATCCTCTCATGTACAATTTTTTTTTTAGCAATCCTGAGATCTAATCTTGACAAGTAATGCATAACAGGGGACATATTTTTGGGATAAAGAGCCCTCCCCTCAACTCTCATATATAAATTTATGAATTATTAGGTGCTTAGAAAACACATAAATAAATAAATAAAATTTAGGTATCCTCAAATCTCAATCATTTGATTAATATTGATATTTTGTATAATAGATGTGCGTTGACATAAATCTATTTCACTCTCCAGAACTTGCAGTGACGGTGTTTGGTCAAAAAGCATGTTGGGGGCTACTGGGTGAATCTTTTCACCTACAGGGGTGCCAAGACTATGTTTGGTTTGATTTACGCCCTCAGGCCGGTCTAGGAACCTGGTCCTACCTAAGCCAAGAAAAGATTCTTGATGCTATGACTGCACTAGGGTCATAGTCTTTTTTCCCTAATCTAACTTCGAGGCACTGCAGAAAGTGTAAATGAGAGACTCAAAAGTTTGAGCAATGCTACAGGAGTCTGAAGTTTTCAACTGTAGACTTCAAGTCAAAATGAATGCATCCGTGGAACATGTCATGGGATCAGAGTGGTTTTTTTCACTCATATAGAAATGTGAAAACTAACATTTCATATAGTGTGTAAATTATTTAGTGATGGGAATTTATTGTATTAGAATGGAGCATATAATAGCACTAAACCGAGTGTAATCAATATATCTCGATTTCTTGAATTGTTGTGGTTCTTTTATGTTGTTTTTCTCATAAATAAAAAAAATGAAAAGGTTTTATGTTTTTAAAAGGAATGTACTAAAATTGAAACCCTAGGCTATTGGCGGTACATGCCAAAATTCAGTGGATATTTAATTAAAAAGCTTATGATAGATCTTCATATACCATATATATTTTTTACCTATTCTCATATATAACATTAAGGACAAAATTTTGGGATAAGAGGCCATCCTCTTAACTCCCATGTATAGATCTCAGAATTATTAGGTGCTTAAGAAACACATAAATAACTAAATAAAGTATAGGTATCACCAAATCTCAATTATTTGATCAAAATTGATATTTTTTATAATAGATGCGCATTGACAGAAATCTATTTCACTCTCCAAATCTTGCATTGATGGTGTTTGGTCTAAACGTATGCCAGGGGCTGCTAGGCGAGTCTCTTCACCTATGGGGATTCCAGGCTTGTGTTCGGTCCGATTTGCGCCCTAAGACCTGTCTGGGGACCTAGTCCTACTTAAGCCAAGAAAATATTCCTGGTGGTATGATTGTACTATGTCGTAGCCTTTTTTACCTAATCTAACTTCGAGGCACTGCGGAAAGTATAAATGAGCCACTCAAAAGTTTGAACAATATTGGAACAGTCAAAGTCTTCAACCGCAGACTTCAAGTCAAAATGAATGCATCTGTAGAACATGATATGGTGAGATCACAGTGGTTTTACTTTTTCACTCATATAGAAATGTGAAAATTAACATTTCATACAGTGTGTAAATTATTTAGTGATGGAATATATTATATTGGAATGGAGCATATAATAACGTTCAACTGAGTGTAATCAATATATCTTGATTTATTGTGGTTCTTTTATGTTGTTTTTCTCATAAATAAAAAATGAAAAGGTTCCATATTTTTAAAAGGAATGCACTAAAATTGGAACCCTTTGCTATTGGCAGTTCATGCCAAAATTTAGTGGGTATTTAATTAAAAAGCCGATGATGGATCTTCATAAACCATATTTTGTTTTTAGCTATCCTCACATCTAATCATGACAAGTAGTGCATAACAGGGAACAAATTTTTGGGATATGAGACCCTCCCCTCAACTCCCATGTATAAATCTTTGAATTATTAGGTGCTTTAAAAACACTTAAATTAATAAATAAAGTTTAGGTATTTTCAGATCTCAATCAATTGATCAATATTAATATTTCGTATAATAGATGCGCGTTGACAGGAACCTAGCTATTTCACTCTCCAAATCTTGCATTTATAGTGTTTGGTCTAAAAACATGATGGGAGCTATTGGCGAGTCTCTTCGCCTACGGGGGTGCGGGGACTATGTTCGGTCCAATCTGCACCCCGAGATCAGTCTGAGGACCTGGTCCTACTTAAGCCAAACAAATATTCCTGATGGATCATAGACTTTTTTCCATAATCTAACTTTGAGGCACTGTCGAAATTATAAATGAGCCATTCAAAAGTTCTTTGTGGCCCTTATTGTGACAAGGACAACGTTTAATATCTCTTATTTCTTTTTGGTATGTTATTCTTCTGGATAAGTTAGTCGATGCGACACAGAGGTTAAAATCTATTGTCAATCTAGTCACCAAATATTAATTTTTTTGATTATTATAGCTCTTGTGTTGTGAACCTCCCCCCCTTCTGCTCTAATCATTTCCTCTGTGGCTATTTCGACCTTGCATTTGGGTTAACATCCTTCCTGAAGAGAGCTTGCTGTTATCCTATCACTTTTGTTAATGTGCGTTAGACGTCCCATAACTGCTTCTCCAAGCTTTCCATGCTTAGAATCGTGCTTTGGATTGGTTGTTTCCCTTCGACCTTGGTCTGCTCACTGATGGCTTCGGCTTTCTGAAACCCTTCCTCAAATTTCTCTAACTTTTTTTGTACTGTGACTCTAATTACGTTTGTGGACACAATAACCAATGGAAAGACGTAGTATCTAATGCCGTAGCCTCTTTTGTCTTTCCCGCGCCATAAAGGAAAATGATAACCCGTTATTTTTTGACATTTGTGGGGAAAAAATAACATAAGTTTGTCAATAGATTCCTGAATAGTATTACATAAAAATTAATTACATGATTGTTAGTAGTATGCCTGTCAAAATTATGATATTTACTGTAATGACCCGATTATTTTCATTCCTTTTCTTTTTGCTCAAATTTTACGGACAAATTTTTTCCGTTGTCTTTTCTCTTCTGTGTTTGGTTTCCTATCACTTAGTGTCATATCGAGTGCTTGAAAATGGTTTTTGAGGCTCTTTTCTTTGGATTGACAACTTCCTTTAAAGACCGAGTCATTTTCACATTTTCACTTTTGTGACACTATTCACATTTCGTCTTTTTCCCGTTTATTATTTTTCTTTGTATAACCTCACTTTTTGTGCTTGGATTTGATTTCGGCTTTGCATGCACCTATAGTATTTAGTTTCCCTGATATCTATATTCTCACTTTGGTAGAAAAGCATGCTAAGTGTTTACTATTTTTGTAAAGGGTATGGATGCACAATTTTTTTTTGTAATATTCTTAACTTGTAGGGTTTTAGTGTAATTAAATAAAGTAATTATTTTTCATCTTAGGGACCATTTTGTAATTTAATTTAGGAGATATTTTGGAAAAGGACCTTTTTCTAATTTTTGAAAAGTGTGACAAGTGTCACACTCTCATTGGTCCACTTGTTGACATTTGTGTGGGGACACTTTGATGCCTTGGATCATGACATGTGGAGGGTGGAGATTGAACCACTTGTTGACCTAGGATAGGTGCACTTGTTGGCTTGGATGGTTGACAAGTGTAGGCTTAGGATTAAGCCTACAATGGATGCTTAGATGAGTGACAAATGTATGCCGCAAATTAAGTCTTGCAATTAA